GTCAAAGAAGAAAAGATGAAGATTTATCACCGAACCTTGGATGTTCTGATTCCTAGGTTTGAAAAGCTGACTTTCACACACACATCTACTGAGGGAGAACAACATGTTGACTGACGCTTTATCAACTCTATCATTTATGATAGGCATCCCGCTCAGAGTCTGGATGTGTCCGATCATCATTGAGTAGAGATACACATCGGCTTACGGGACTATCGCCGTAATAGATGAAGCTCAAGATCAAAACCCTTGGTACTACAATATCTGGAACTTCTTGAAAAAGGAGGTTTATCCACAAAGGACAAATGCCAAAGACAAAAGGGCAATACGGAGAATGGATGTCCAATTTATCATCTGCGGAGGTAAACTATACAAGAGGGGTCATCTGGGAATGCACAAGTTATGTTTTGAAGCAGAGGAATCAAAGCGCCTAATGGAGGCCATCCATGGGGGAGAGTGCGGAGCGCACATAAATGGAGTAGTGTTAACCCGGAAGATTCTCAGGCAAGGTTACTACTGGTCTACTATGAAGGAGGATTGTATCGGTTTTGTTCGACGATGCCACAAATGCCAAATTCATGCAAATCGCATGAACATCCCGGCGTCAAAGTTGTACAACATGACTTCATCATGGCCTTTCTTAGTTTAGGGAATCGACGTCATTGGTGCAGTCACACCAAAAGAGTCGAATGGGCATGAATACATTCTGGTGGCAATTGAATACTTCACAAAGTGGGTGGAAGCTCAGTCCTACGCAGTGTTGAAAACAGCACATGTGGCTAAGTTCATCTGAAACAACATCATTTGCCGATATGAAGTCCCAAACGAGATCATTTCAGATAATGGTTCCCATTTCAAAAAAGAAGTGATAGACTTGTTAGAGAAATACAATGTGGCTTGCCATAAGTCATCTACATGCCGGCCGCAAACCAACGGAGCTGTTGAGGCCGCCAACAAGAACATCAAGCACATTTTGTAGAAAATGGTTGAGATCTATAGGAACTGGCCAGACAAATTACCATTCGCACTCTGGGGCTATAGAACTTCAATCCAGACGTCTACAGGGACAACTCCTTATTCTCTTGTCTATAGGATGGAAGCTATTTTTCTAATCGAAATAGAAGTCCCGTCGCTGCGAGTTATGGCTAAGTGTCAAATAGCAGAGGCGGACTGGCAACAGAGCAGATTTGAAGAACTGATGATGTTTGATGAGAGAAAGTTGAAAGCATTGTACCATGTACAGGGTTATCAATGCAGGATTGCTAGGGATTTTAACTAGAAAGTTAAGTCCCGGAATCTCAAAGAAGGGGATTTGGTGATGAAAGAAAATCGAGCTCTCATTTATGACCCTAGGGGCAAGTTCAGACCCAATTGGATTGGTTCTTACATCATCAAAACTATTTGGTCGAGTGGAGCTGTTATTCTCATGAACTTGGATGGCCTAGAATTTTCCCAACCAATCAACATGGACAAGTTAAAGAAATACTATCCTTGAGAAGCTCACTAGGCCGAAAATCTGGAAGGGCAACCTAGGCAAAAGTTAGAGCACAAAAGAATAGAAATAAAGAAAAACTGAGCTTGCAAGGTTGAAAACTCTAAACGGAAACCTTGGCAAAAGTTAGAGTGAAAAAGAAGAGAGTTAATACTCGAGTGAACCCGAGCCAAACTACGTAAGGCCTGATTCCCATCTTCGGGATACGTAGGCAACTTCATCCTGAAGTCCAGCCATAAACACCTCCAAATCAACTGTCCTGTCCATGTGTTTGATCAGGTCATCTTTGTCTGCTCTTTATCTGAGAGTTCAGTTGTGATCTTTATTTTGAGAACTGGTTACAATGCTTAACAGTGTTATTTAGTCAAGGGGCAATTTGTGATCTTTGGATTCGAGGTTGTACATCTCGAGGTTTGATTCCGTGCATGTCAAGTGGTGATATTTTTCGAAAATGATTTTGGAAAATTTTGATTTTGTTCAAATTTTACCTTTTACAACTTAAACCATTTTTTGACCAAAAGGAAATTCTTCAATGCTCACAACTTTAATTTCATTGATTTTAATACAAAGTTCTCCAACTCTCGATACAAATCAAAGTTACTTTTATTACATTCAAAAAACTTGAAAAGAAAGATCAAACCAATAAAATAAGGACATAGATGAGTTAGGTGCTCCTGCGTCCCCCGCTTGCGCTCGTGGAAGCTTCTAACGCCAAAGTAGGCCTGATTTGTGCCTCTTCCTCAAGCCAAGCCAGTCATTCTCCAGAAAGGGTGTAATTGAAACTAAGGGCAGGAGCCAGAAGCTCTCTCATCCTCCAAGCAGTGAGGTACTTAGCCAAATGTGAACCTCGAATAGGGAATGAACCCGGGTACTCTACCCCCTCATCTGGGCAGATCTGATCATATCCAAACTAACGTCTAAATCGAAAAGGGAAGTAGAACACACAGTATGTGAGGCCAATCAGCTAAATGCCAGGTTGCTGAGCCATGCTGTAGCTCATCTCGGTCAGATCAAGCTAGGGGCAACGCCAGGTCAGCAGCAGACCTATTGCACATTCACTCACACCACCACCCTGCATTTGGGAAATCCACTAGTCGGTGGCAGAAGAAATAGCCTCGGGCTGAGTACTCAGGGCAAGAGTCCACTGCCTTCAGCTTATCCATAAGCCACACCTGGGAAGAGATGAAAGAAAAAAGATATTAAAGAATAGAGAGACGTATGTTGAGAGAAAAATGAGAAAAGGGCTTTTAGTGAAAAAATAGAGCATGAGTACCGAGAGATGTGAGAAACACATATTAGAAAGGATAGGAAACATTACCTAAAGAAATAGTGGACTTCCCGCGAATCTAGTAGTCTAAGCCCATCAAAGTCTGGGCCAGCGCCAAGCCAATGCAATTCTTGCCTTCTTTCAGGCCTTGCGCTACTTCGATCAGGTGAATGCTAGACCCATCGAAACTAGAGGCAAGAAAGAAATGAGCTAGCATACATAAGCAGAGGACATGCTGCCGAAAACCCTGCCAAAGACGATCACCGCAATCACGGGCATCAGAAAATTGACGAATCAGATTGGGAATATCCAGTTCTCCATTGTGGGCCAAAGATCGGGCCTCGTGCAGAGTAAGCCCACACATCCGTCCCAAAGCTTGGGCGTGGCCAAAACGAGATTGAGGCATGATTTCCTCATCCCGAAATATCCTGCATATGGACGGAATATTTCCTGACTTAACAGAATATTCAAGTTTACAATTTGGCCCAGAAGTTTCAAATAATTATGCTGTAACCTAGGTTTCGGAATAATTTTTCAATGAGGCCCCCAGAAGTGCAGAGAAGGTTGATCCTAGCTATACAAACCATTCTGGACGCAACCGTAAGGTCAGAATATGCCCTTGGATAGGTAATTTGTGGCTGTTTAGGGTTGGAAACATGGCTCAAATTCTAAGTTTTATTATTGAGGATTTTGTAAGAAACACCTTCTTGTTTTGTCATCATAGGGTAATCAAAAGAAAGCGTCCAAATCTTAGGGCCGGTCAAAATGGGGTGTCTACAATCACCTCTTTACTTTTCTGCACATTTTTTCGTAAAAAGTCAAAAAGTGCACTTATTTAGATCATTTCAAACAAAAGAGAATTTCTAATGAGAAGGAATGTAAGAGCTCCACATGCTCAACCTCAATTTATTATTTTTTTTAATTTAAATCAAATATTTAAAAAAAAAATCACGCATCTCACATAATTTTAAAATTAAAATTAAAATAAAATTTTCCACATAATTTCAAGATCATTGCCTAAAATATGATCATTTCCTAACAACATTACCCAAAATATGATCCTTTCCTAAAATCAAATATAGAAAATTCATGTGTCTCACATAATTTTTTAATTAAAAATAAATAAATAAAATTTCTCACATAATTTCAAGATTATTGCCTAAAAGATGAGTGTCACCAAATCAAATATAGAAACACTAGTCACTGCCATGTTCAAGTACTCACCCAAAATTCAATACTCACCCAAAAATATATATATATAAAAATAGAAACACGATTTGTTGACTTTTCAATTTATGTGTCTATCTTCTAAAATTTCCAACTAAAATTCTTTCTTTCTTAAAATAAATTAAATAAAAATCAATTCAAATCTATTTAAATTATTTTGCTTGATTGATTTTGTTTCCCTATAATAAATTTTGAAAATTGATTTGGTTGTTTTCTTATAATTAAATTATTTTATTTATTTATTTTATTTGCTACGAAAAGAGAAGTTCACAAGAAGTTAGGAAAAAGCAATCAAAGCCTAGAATCAAAGAAAAACATTAACAGCTTGAGCAGCCACGGAAGGAAAACTAATTTGGTTTTTTTGGAAAATTGATTTTGTTACGTGGCCACAATTTATATTGTTTGGTTAATTTGTGGTTTCAATCCACACATCGTCTCACTCGTAACAGGTCAGTCAATTTTCTTACTAAACAAACACAATATAAAATCTTTTATACATTGTTTCTATGGATATATGGTTTTGATTATCCACCGAAACTTACAATTTATTTTACTTTGATTAGAGTTTTTTTTTCTTCGGTTTTTTCAACTGTATGATTAATTTCTAATATGAAATTCATTAATTGGCATTAGGTGCTAAATGAAATCTTTAATATTATTGGTTTGAATAATTTTTATATTTTTTAAAATGTAACAAAAAAAAATTTGATATAATATGTAAATATAAATAATATTTTATAAATGTATAACATATGTATTTCTATCAATTATAGTATTAACTATATCACGTTGTTAAGGCAGAAAATATTGGTAGAAAACCCACAATAATTAAAATTATAACTAGTATGTGACTTGTGCGATGCATGAGAATTTATATTTAAAATAGAAAATTAATTTTGAGTCTTAATACTTTACGTGTAAAATTTTTTAACAACTTAAAGTCAAATACAAACAGATTTACCAATAGTTAATGAAAATTATTGTTTCTGTGTGTCCTAAAATAGGGTCAGAAAAACAATTTCTTTCATTTAAAAAAAAAAAAAAAAAGCATGGTGTGGTCATATGGATTAGAATTCAATTGATGAGAGACAAAAGTACACTACAACTTCATCATAACATTATCTCAGCACCTCACAAACGTATGAAAAGAATATGGATTTCTGCTGACAACACAAATTAAAACTATCAAAACTGGTACAAGTCTACTTAATATGAAAGGAAAAGAACATATAATGATGTACCTGAATTTAATTTGACTTTGTCGAAAAGAATTGCTTTGATTTACTATTTGCACTTTATGCTTTATACAATATCATAGTGTGGTGCAAGTGTTGTAGTCATTATCTCTCTTAAAACACAAAAATCACCTAGGATTAACAGAGAATTATGCAATTAAGGGAATTAACAAAATAAAAATAAAAATGAGGCCTTACTTCATCCCCTCCGATTCTGCCATGTCACTTAGTTGCAGAAGGCGCGATCATAGAAAGACAAAATGTGGGTTGTCACTCGCTGTCACATTCTCATAAAGCATGTTTTACACTAAAAATATGAATGGTAGAGACCTCTAACAATTTTTCTTCCTCGTCTTCTTCTTCTTCTTCTTTTAATGTTGAAACCTAACAATTATCAGGTGGGAATTCAATTCAAATCACCAACAGTTAAGAGGATACATTTTCTTTAAGTAACTAGTTATCTACACAACTAAACACCCCCTAATTCTGCCCAAAAACCACTTCCAGGTGAATTTTGAGTGGTTTTGTTGTTCTCTTATTTGGATAGAAAACTTCCCTTTCTTTCCTCTTCGTTAGTTCATCCCTTCGATGATTTTGGCTTTGTAAACAATGCCCCACCTAGCTGAATAAGCGTAAGAAAGTTACCTGGAAAAGAAAAAGAAAAAGGCAAGGTGCACATTCAAGTGAAATCAACGTTCACAAACAAAGATATCAACTTATGATTCAGGAAAATAAATAATAACAATATTCCAAAACACTAATAATGTAGAAAAAATAGCATCCTAAGAGAATATTCGAGTAGAGTTGAGTTGACAAAATAAAGAACAATTCATGTTTTGATTGAATTATGAAGAAAATATATAAATTAATTATGTGGAGTATTGATTTTTTTCTTTAATATTAATTATTCATACATATTGTATATAGGAATATAAAATTTAAATTAAATATAAATATTTGGTAATAAATAATTTCATGTTAAATAAAAAATTAAATATAAATTAATATTAAGATATCAACAAGATAGACAAAAATTAAAATATAAAAGAAAATTCATTCGATCCGTGCGATACACATAATTAAATACATTTTATCTTATTTATTTATTTATTTGTATATCGAAATAATTTTTTTTTTCAAATATCATTATAATTAAATTAAAATATCAACTATATAAAAAGAAATTTGATAACGACAACACTAAATACACGAGAAAAAATAGATAAAAAATAAATATTTTTAAAACATAATAGTTACGGGGTGTTTTGGGAAATTTGTAAAAAGTTGGCTTTTGACCAAGCCTTTTAGCTTTTTTGGAAAATGATTTGGAAAATTGGTAAAAAATTGGCTTTTGGCTTTTTAGGTTAATATTTGTTTATGGTGTCAAATCACAGTAAATGACTAAAATATCCTTACCCAACTTTGGAATATTACTTTTTTACCCATGTGTGTGTTTGAACAATTTTTTGGGAATGTAATATGAAAATTTTTCAACGTTATGTAGTTCAAATTATAAAAATTATAAAAATATTTAAAAATTCAATATTGCACTACACATCATATGAAAATTACAAAAATTATTAAAAAATCAATGTTGCACTACAACCCAAGTTGACGCCGATGTCGCACCAGTTCATTCCGAATTGATTTCCTCACTTCGTTCATATGTACATCATCATCACCCTCTGGTTCACCACCATCGTCATAACAAACACTCCCAACATTTGGCATGTCGTTGAAAGTAAAATTCTCTGCAGTTGTAACCTTATTGAACGCGTCATCGTCGTTAGAATTTCGACGTACAAAATTATGTAGTGCTATTGAAGACCCAACCAATGGCACCTGCACTTTCCCAAAATCATATCGAGGCATGTTATGTAGGAATCCCTATCGCGCTTTCCATACTCCTAACGTTCGTTCAATTGCACTCCGTAAGGAGGAGTGCACGGTGTTGAAAACTTCATTTGCATTTCTTGGCCGTCCAGTAGCTCAAAACTCTCCCTGGTGGTAGCGGCATCCCTTAAACGGCGCCAAAAAGCCTTTTTGTTTCTTGCACCCCGCATCAACAAGGTAACATTTTCCTGGTTGTAATTTAATAATTTTGCATTAGTAACATCATTACAAATATGAAATTCACACAACTAATACAAAAATTGACCAGCCCTTATTCAGCTAACCTTCCCTTGGATTGGGAAATTGTTTAGTCGGGTCTTGTGTTACTTTGTTAAAAACTCTGCCGTCGTGCATACTACCCTTCCATCTGCAAGATATAAAAGTAAAACACAAGTCGAAATCACACACTGCGAGTATGTTTTGCGTGTGTCGTCCTTTACGGCCAAAATATGGTGCTGCCTCCCGAGGCAAGAGATGGACCTCCACGTGTGTGCCGCGCCAATACAGTCCTGCACAAGCACACAAAGCAATTGCGTTAATGTAAAGGCGAAATGCTTTTAACCCAAAAATTGTTCTCCTTTGTTTTCTGAATGTGGTTACTATTCATGAAATGTTCGAAAAATGATTAGACTCACTCTGAATGGCAAATATTTTCGTCGGGACTCTAAGTACGAATGTCTGTTGTGTTGTGACCTTGTTAGTCGACTGTGTGCAATCGTGAACAACTTTATCGCTTTAAGAACTCGCATTACAGAACGCCATACCGTTTCCCCCGAGTGTTAGAAACGGTCTTCAATATCCCAACTGGGGAAGCCCTGCAACAAGAATATGAACATGCTGACACTTTCAACTACGTCCACACCATGGGGACGCTGTGGTAGTGGGAGGCTGAAATCCTCAGCTAATGTCTTGCACAACAATAAGAACACATCCTGTGACATCTGAAAATTTGGCTGAAATGCTTCATTCCGACCTCGAAGCATTTCCTCCATCCACATGCGACCAGTCAATGATGATGTGTGTAACGGAGTCCTATCAACATACGCGTACTCATTGGTAACGCGTGCAATTTTCACCCAAATCATTGATGTTGTCGATTCCATTTCTCTGATCGTCTCTCATATCCACGCATTTATTTGGCCATTGGGTACGACTCCCGAGCTAGTACCCTCTTGCGGATCCATAGACGTTCCAAAATATAAAGAAAAAAAAATTACAAGATGTAGTTCGCATTCGCAACATGGGTTGATCAACTCCATCATATATAGCAATTGTTTGACATCTTCAAGAACCACATATCATACTGTGACCATGTGATTACCCAAAGATGAAATAGGTGACAATACCATGTGAATGGTAGTAGATTCCCCAAGTTTGTACAATTTCTAGTCTGACTGCTTCCATATAACTGAGCAACCAAGTTTCATTTGATTCTGATTCACATGAGACACATCAAATAACCTAAATATTGCATCAGACATTTTAGTTAAAATTATTAAGTAAGTAAAGAAATCTAAATAAATAAATAAATCGAACAAAAATTTGGAATTAATAACTCAAAACGAAAATATAAATAACTAAAAAACTACCACCAGAAATTACTAAAACACAGATAAATACAGAACTGGAAAAAAAAAAAACAATGACCACGAAAATATATAAAGCAATAAATAAAGAATTGCACTATACAAAAATTAATCAATGACCAGGAACATTTTTTTTCTAACTGGCAACTACAATTACATAAATACAAATAAGTAAATAAATAGAATGAAAAAAAACAAAACTATATAAATATATACATAAATGCAAATAACCATATACATACAACAAGGAAAAAATAATAATAAATTACAACAAAATATATATGCCATACATAAATCGACCACAAAATTACAACATAAATAAATAAATACGGAGATACCATTTAAGAAATAAATAGAACCACAAACCAATCAATAAATAAATTCATACAGAATTTTCAATAAATAGACCTTTTACGGAGCACGAAAAATAAATAATTATACAAAAAAAAAAATACTTGCAAACAAAAACAAAGTTGAACTTATGTTTTCACTTCATAGGGCCTGAGCAAAAAACAAATGTACATGATGCACCAAGCATAGGATTCCATGGCCATGACAATTTTGCATAACAACCATGTGACACAATAGTGCCATCTTGTGGCTTGTACACTCCCAGATAGTACCCAAGTCCTGAACAATGGGTGAAAACCTAACTACTGCATCCAACAATTATAAATAAACATCCAAAAAAAAAAAAAAAAAAAAAAGAAACAGTTCACAATGCGCACCACAGCAAAAAGAAAAAAACAAATTGTTATACAAAACAGTCGACGAAAACAGCAACTAAAAATAAACTACAGTCCCATGGCAGTAAATACTAAATGACAATCCAAGAACAGACACCTAGTCCAAGTCAACCACACCATCACTCCCGAACAACTATGTCCTCCGTTCACGATCCCTGCAAACATTGGCCGGTGTGCAGACACGCTTCTCTGTCAACCAGTTCACAATGTAATCCACGGGGAGGGCCATGATGATGTCCCGATTATCGAGTGAATCCATTATGCCGCATGTGAATGATAATAATTTACCGCTGGGCTCCAATCCAAGCGTGCTCATAAGCCTTGCAAGACAGTCTCCCACAGTGTTCTCACCCTTTCCGACGACAACATATTGCGTAATTTTCAGCTCCCGACTTTGTTTGCTGACTGTTGCCACGAGGTTGTCCATGCTACTAACGAAAGTACCAAGCGCTGGCCGCTTGCGACGTTTTGCATTGGCTGATTCATCCGTAGCTAACTACGGGGGAGTATCGTCGAAGAGAGAACTATCCACCACGTTCTCCTCGATAGTGTCATGGCCTGGCTGTGGTGGTGTGCCAGCACAGAGAAGTCCCATCCCACTGTCCTCGTTGGCATTTGTCACGGTAACAGCATCATCGCGCACTTCAGTTGGAGTCCATACATGTTTCCCAATCGCAGTTGCGCCAGAGTACACCCGCTCCATGAGGTTCAAGTGTTCTAGAGGCTTGGTCTTGAACTTAGCACATCGATTGTTCATCTGAGACAGAAGAAAACACATATGCAAGTAAAGGTAGAAATGTATTTGCTGGCTTGAAAGTGTAGCACCAATGACAGTAAAAGCAAATAACACTTAATTACATAATTAAGAATGTGCACCAACCAATTGTACCGTTTTACTTTAACGGATTAAATGTTATAATTGATGATACAATCATGATACAACGGGTTCCTGGTAGAACAGGTGGGACTGATCCACACTTCTCGAGCCAATATTCGAGTGGTCAAGTCCACCTGAGAACCTGCATAAGAGTTCAACGGGGAACGGGGTGTCCCCCAGCGAACCCTCCGACAAGCAAGTTAGAGAGAGGGAGAAGTGGAATGCAGAGATATGGATTAGAGATAGAAAGCTTAACCTTCTTTTTGTCTTCAACGTCTGCTTATATCCTTTAGTCATCATTTCGTTGTCCCTTCCGACCTGTCACCTTGGCCAAAAGTCTATGTTGTAGCTAACCTTGTTCAGGGTGAAGGCGTGCTGTTCCGACGGAGAGGTATTGTCGTAATAAATGCTGTGAGGGGCTGCATTAACGGCGATGTGCAGTGGCAATAACTTTGCAGATCTTTGTTTGCTGATGTGGCTTGCTCTGTGCCTGCCACGTGCCTGGGTATTATTGGTCCTTCGTGTCATGTTGGTTTCCAACTGTTCTGGACCTCATCAATTGGGTTGT